AAAAACACATTTGAACAGGAGTTGTTGCGGCATTGCTCCTTATGGAAGGCAGAAGAATGAGGAGACAGACTGTGTCTCCTCATTGGGAAAATGAGGAAACATACGGTGTCTCCCCATCGGAAGAAAGACAAGACAGACACTGTCTCCACATCAGAAGAAAGAAGAAACAGACTGCTTCAGTCACTATCATCGTCGGACTCTGACGTACTCGAGTTGTTGCTGCTCGTGTCATCGCTGCTGCCCGAGCTGCTGGAGCCGCTACTGCTGTCTGAAGATTCTTCGCTGCTAGATGATGAGACTTTCTCATCCTCTTCTTCTGAACTGGTGTCAGAAGACACTTGTGGTTCAGATTCTTCGCTTTCAGAATCCGAGCTCTCATCGCTGCTGCTCCTCTCAGATGTCGCGCTGTCAGTGCTTTCTGAGCTGTCGTCTTCATGCGAAGACGTGCTGCTCGAGAGCTGTTTGTGAGACTGTTTTAAAGCACCTGAAGCCTCTTCCTGGCTCGCCGTATTTATCAAGGAAATTAAATCGCTGAGTTGCTGGAAGCCCCCAATGAGCTTGCGCATATAGGTCCCTTCACTCTGCAGCATCCTCTCGGTGTGCAGTAAGTTTGTTGCGAACGGCCCGGCGACTGTACACAGAAAATTTCAGAGAGAAAGCATCTCGGCTTAAGTATCATCATAGCCATCAGTGTGGGGGGCAACGCTAATAAAGCCAGAATGATTCTTTTTCTGTGCAGAGAGGGAGAAAGAGCTCACAATTAATCTGTTCGTCGTCAAGGTCCCAAGAGTCAAACGTGCCAGCGTTCTGCTCCTCCTCAAGGATTTCTCGCCATATGGGTGCCCAGTGCCGCTCCTCCTCCAACCGATGTGCGAGCTCCATCCTAAAGCAGAACCGGCACCCGAAGCTATATCCCTGTCTGTAGATGCGTTTGAAACTGAGGAAGCAAGAGGCTGTTAGTCAACAAGATTAAAACTCGCATAAGGACTTCGTTAATGCATCGGCTAGCCCGCTGGTAATACAGTGTAGGATAGTGAAAAGTATCCACACATATAATAAATGGATAATTCGCGTATAATATGAACTCCTTGAATCCTGTGTTGCGCCTACCTTCTTTTCAGCTCTTGCTGATTCAAAGTCTCGACCAAGTTCCTCTGGCTCCTGACCCCTGCCCGGGCATTGTTCTGCACGGTCAGCAGTCGCAGATTGACAGTTGGTGGGAGCTGGGTATGCTGGAGGCTACCTGTTTCGTCGGCGTGGTTCTAACGGAATGAAACCTCTAACGGCACTTTGCTGGGTGTTTCCGTTGGTTTTGTGGGCTAGACTGAAGGCTAGGATCCCTCACCAGCCCCAGCTCGCGTCGTTTTATCTCGTTCTGATTCACAAGGAATCTCTGCTTCTCAACGAGTCGTTTCTGGTACAACCTGTCACATCTTTCGGCATTCCGCAGCAGGACACGCTCTCTGGCTTGTTTATGTTGTCTTTCGGCCTCAACAGCCAATGCTTCTTCCAGAAGTTTTCTGTGCTCCTCAAACTGGCTCATGAGATGCTTTAGCCCGTTCCCTTGTCCTTCTTCTCGCATGCGTTGCTCCTGTTCTTGCCGTAAAGCTCGTCGTTTTTCGTCAACTTGCTTACGGTGCTTCAACTTGTCCAGCATCTTATCGTAGGCATTGCGTTTTTCTTCCATTTCCTTGAGCAGCTTTTCCTGCTCTTCCATCATGCGTTTTTCTATGGCTCCGACTTCCTCCGCTGCGGCAGCTTCAGCTTCTTGTTGGAGCTTAGCGTATTGTTCTTCTTCGGACATTTGTGGCTGAATTGTACACACCATTCAAAAGCAAGAAACAAAGACTTGCGGCCCATATGTTTATAAACAGCTTTGGAACGACGAAGTTGAAAACCTATGAATTTCTGCACACCCAGACGTGTCCCACACCTGTTCACGTTCACGGGCCAGTTTAGTCCTGCGTTCCATCTGTTTCATTATAGCCTCCGTTTCTGCCGCTTGTTGTTGCTGTCGCTCCTGCAGCTCGAGGGTTATCCTGTCGTCCACCTGCAAACCATACGGCATGTGGTTAGAGCACGTGATTGCACTGCTTGCATGCAAAACTCCAGCAGCATGTGGCCAGGAAGGCGCAGGCATTCATCTGGCAACCAGTTCGCCCCATGGGGACTACGTCGCTTGAAGATGAACGACGATGAAATGTCCTTACTGCTTGTGTTTGCACGAACAAGTATTCCTGCAACTCGGCCTGAAAAAACACATTCAGCGCATTAGTACATTTGGCATTCAACAAAATAATGGAAAGGCAGCGATTTCAACTGTTTTCAATGGGATAGCTGGAGCATACTTTGTAGAGCTCTTGTACATCGTCCGGACGGCCTTCGCATCTGAAAGAAGCTCAACACAGAAGGGCTGCATCGCGGTTACTATTTGAAATTCTTGAAGCAGATACAGGTGCAACGTAGTCACTATTATTTTGGGTTTGTGACAGACGATCACTGCGAATGCACATACATTCTGCCGCCCTTCTCCTTCCAAAAGTTTTCCGTAAGTGCACTGATCTCTTCTGCCTTTTTCATAGATAGCTCTTGCAGGATTGCCGATAACTCCTTTTCGTGCTTTCGCGCTAGCAGCTGCAGCACCAGCCAAAGCCAATTTGAAGTCTGCCCTCAGCAGTACATTGGGTTACAGAAAGCTCTTGCTCGCCTGTACCGGGACGAAGACAAAATGTGGCTGTTTCCCTACCTCTGCCACCGCAGCAGTATTGCTGCCTTCATTGACTAAGCGTTGCAGTTCGTCGAATTCGGCTGCTTCTTCTTTCTGCAGCATAACTCAAAGGCAGCAGAAGACTGCAGTTCGATTTTAGACGTGCACAGGACAATGAGTGGATGCATTTATTTCATGCCGGACAAATATTCGCACTTCTTTCGCCTCAGCCGCAATCTTTGCCTCAAGTTCCGCCTTGGCTTGTTCTATTTCTCTCTGCTTCTGCTCTTCTGCTTCCCGCCGTTTTTGTTGCAGACGTTGCTGGCGTTCCAGTAGGCGTTGCTGAGCCCGTTGTTCTTGCTCCAGCAGTTCAGCTGCCACTGTAGACTCCATTTCCTTCAGTGCAGCTTCATGTTCTGCAGCGCAGCATGGGGAACATACGAAACAGAGCAACCGCCAGAAGAACATATCCACAGGGGAAACGCGAGCGCTTCGATTTTATTCACGCATATTTATTACCTTTGAGAAGCTCTTCCCTGCTGTCTTCTGGAACTTGTGCAAGTTTCGCTTCGTGATCTTCGTTTAGCTTTTGCTTAGCCAGCTCGTGAGCTCTTTTCCGTTCAGCTACTTCTTGTTCCCGTTCGATTCTATCGCGTTCCTCTGCTTCCTGATGTTTGCACGTGCAGGAAAGGGCAAGACTCGCATTATATGGGATCAAGGATTCCCAATGCTTAGCGTTGCAGCTAACGCATGGCGTATTGTTACAGCTAATTCATGGAGTGACATACTTCCTGCTCTTTCTGAATTTCCTCAAGGGCTTGGTCCAGTTTTTGCTGGGCCTTCTTCATGATTTCCAGGATTGCTTCGGAAGATTTTGCCGCATCCACTGTGGCAGAGCCCCTGGGGAGGGAGCGCACTGAAGTATATATATATATATATATATATATATATATATATATATATATATATATATATATATATATATATATATATTTCCGGTGCAAAGCAACTGCAAGAATGATGCATTTGCGCAGGTGCCCGGCATTTGCAGGTGGACACGACTAACCTGCTGAATTCTTCGATCGCCTCTGACGTGTCCGAGAGACCCTGAATAGTTTCGCTTTGAAGGACTGCTAAGGCAGACTTAGAGCTGCCCTCAATTATATTGCGCTGTGCCATACAATAGTCCAGGTGCCTCTTTCGACGGCGACGAAGCTGCTGGCGCAGTTCCTCGACTGTTTCGTCTCGCCTGTTTTCGGGAACAACGAGGTGTAGCTTAGATGTATCCGTAGACGCAAGTCCACCAGACGACAGAAGGGCGCAAATGCGCCAAATGATCCGCTGCACCTCGTCTGTTCCCAATGCCCGGCGCTTATGGAGTAAGTCGTCGTCTCCATCCTCCTCAGCTTGCTCCTGCATATCACGCATATGAAGCGCTCGCGCGATGTGAATAAGATGATGCTCTAAAGTGCACAAAACGTATGTGGAACTTCGCATTAAATCCATTCGTGGTTACTTGGGCCAACAGGCAATTTCAATGTGCCTGGGATATCTTGACGGCGACAGAAACAATTGAGAACTCTGTGGCTCTCTTCATGCCTATTGGGCACACAACCCCAAGGATTTCTAGTGCTAAGAAACAGTACGCATGCCTCACCATAGACTTTGTGAGACCTGTCTGGCTTAGGCGGTTATGCCTTGAATTCTGAAGAACTCTTTGGGCATTTTCTTTCTCAGCCTGGAAAGCCGTGTCAGCGTAGCGACAGTACGTTTCTTTCTCGCGGACAATTAGAGGCTCCAGCTCAGCAGCTGCAAGCCTCCACTCTTGCTGCGGGCAACGGAGCAGCATACCTTTACAACAGTAACCGCTTCTGTGCAGATTCTAGAATAGTCGGTCCCCGACTAGAGGGGAGCACGACCTCAGCAGGGGACAACAGCATCATGTTAGACGATACAGCCAATATGGCAAGAGCACAGCCTCAGTCCCCTACTACGTTCCACCCTCAGCGACCAAGTATTGTAGGGCATATTAGGCAGGTCCCTTTTACAGCACCAACATCGTAGGGTCAGTATGTGTGAGCAAGGCTGAAAATGGGGCTTGCGCTCACCAGCAACCTGTCTTCTGTCTCTGGGTCATCAATGCCCTTTCTCCTTGCCTGAGTTGCAAGTATACCGTCCAATCATTCCCATATAAATATTTGTCGCACGGAGATCATGAGTTTCTATCTGCAGTGCAACACGATTGCTACAGCTTGCTAGGGCTGAAAAAGGGCATTATTGCGGCACCTCATTTGCGCGCGACAGAAATGTATTGTTAACTTTGCTGAGCAGCTTTTGCTTGAATGCAGAGAGAGCTTGGATGGAATGTAGTTCCTTCAGTCCCCTTTGGTTCTGTTGCCTTAATTCTAGTACAGTATTCTCGTACTCATCGCGCACCGTTTCCTCTTTTGCCGTAGCCCTGCCCGTCACAGCAATTACGTCGATTGCCACGGAGCTTCGTACGTGTTCAGCATCGTTCATTTGGTTTCAAAGTCCGTTCATGCTTATACAACGTTTCAGGGTTGTTGAATTCTTACTCCTCTAGTTTATTACTAGCTCCTTCTAGTTGTTCTGTTTGTTCCTCCAGGAGCTCGGCGATCCGCTTCCGCTCTCGCAACTCCAGGTCCCACAGTTCTTCGGTTGCCTCCTGTCTCTGATTTCGCAGGCATGCGAACAACTGATCCCTGTACTTGGCAAGTGCTTCACTTTGCTGAGTTTTGAGGTCTTCTAGAAGGCTCGCTGGTGCGCTGATATCTTCTGTGTTCTCCATTATCAGAGCCTGAAATGACATGCACACTAAAACTTCATGTTATCTGACAATGCTGCTCATGAATATACAGGCGTAACTAAAAGACATATACACTGCTTAAGCTAGGCAATCCAGCGTGTTTTTCTCACAGCCATATCCACCCCAAACTTGGCAACATTTTGGAAGAGAGTCGCTTCGTAAGTCGTAGCAGCCTAAATCAGAAGCGTTGCATTCGCAGAAAGTTGTGGATGACTTGTTCGAGCTCTTGTCTCGATATGCAGAAGGCTGCACTACTTCATAAAAGTGAATATAGTATGGAGCTCAGAGTGTCGATGCTGCCTCCTCCGTTGGTCCTCCAGTATTTTCTAACCTTCAGTTGCTGAGTCAGTATGTGCAGCCCTCTGCGTATCAGCGCTACTGCACACTGTGCTTGCGTGGGAACTTGTTGAACTGCCACTTCTTGTCGTTTTTGGAGCATCAAAAGCTTTCGCGACTTGAATGCAGACTGTCTCTTGGTAACTGATTCTGTTCTCAAAGCAATGATGTGGTTAAGAGCAGCAGTTGCAGACTCCAGCTCGGCGTCCCGGAGGCGGTTAAGTTCGTCTGAAGCCTGTTTGTGGAACAAATCAAGCTCAGCATCTCAGCCTCAATATAGCCCTTGAAGGACGTTCAGGGCCTTCATGAATACTACTGCAATACTATCATTTCGGGTTGTTGGACTTGCTGTTACACCGTCAACAATCGTGACGCAAGTAGTCTGGGTGCCTTAAGAAGTTTAGCTTCGCCTAGACCAGACCTACCTCATTTACCGCGTCATCAATGAACTTCTGCCTGGTTTTGAGGCTCCTTTCTGAAATGCTTGCATCTAGCGTAACCTGCAACTCTTCCAAGATGGCGGAGCACTTAACGGAGTGGATCTTGTCGTACCTGGAGGAAAGCATCTGTTAACGGTGTAGCCGGCGATATAAAAACAGCATACTTTGAAATATATCACTTCTGGGCGATGCATGCTGTGCTGATGCAAGCATCAGGCAGGTTATATCGATGAACTTTGTTCTTACCGGGTACGTATTCGCTCCAAAATTTGGTTCTTCATAGTTTGCATGGATTGTCTAAGGAGGTGTGACTCGGTAGCAAACGCAGAAGTAATTGTTCTATTCTGTGCATCAATTATTGCCTGTAGCCGCATGACATGAATCATCGTAGGGTGCAGTGGTCTTGTTGATTGATGTGAAATGTTCGTCTTCTTCGTGCGCTAAACGCAAAACTTCACCTGTGTAAAACTCCAAGATAACTTACATCGTACATATCCCTCAGTTCGGCCTGGTAATTTTCAGTCCAAGAGTCGAGCTGTGACAATGCCTCGGCTTCTGCAGAAAAAATGGCTTTCTCGGCTGCTTCAGCTGCTTCTTGTATTCTTGAGCGCCCCTCCTGTAGCGACCAGTTCCAAGGGCACAGCAGAATTTATCGTGATATAAACAATTGCTGGCTTCACACACATAAGATCGGGAAGTATGCATTGCTCGATTCTGCTGCACACGGTAGACTGCTCACTTCTATGTCCGGTCGGTAGCTGGGGCGCTTACCTTTAGACTTGCCATCACAGCAACCTTCAGTGCATTGGCTGCTTCGCCTGAATTCATCTTCGTTATTTCCACTGCTTGCTTTCCCTCGAAAGCAGCCTTGTTTACCGCCTGGGTAGAAGACGCTATTTCTTGCTCAATGACAGCTGTGTATACACTAAGTTTCCATGCAGCTTCTGCGAGCTGCTCAGCAAAAAAATCACACACACCATGTAAATTACACCCCAAGGAGAGGGCTAGGCTATGAAATCTCATTGAATTCCGCCAATTTTGTAGCGGGACTACTTGAAATTGAATAGTTGTGAAAAGTTGGCGCACCACCCGATATATTTCCAGAGCCTTCCTCTCCTCAGCTTCGTCTTCGGTCCTTGTCAAGTTGGCCTTGGCTTCTCGCAACTCTAACAGATCACTTCCCGTTATAAGCTAAACGCACATTCAGCGACAGAGGCAGCTGCATTCGTAGTAGCTACTCATCCTCAACAAGACACTCTATTGAGCCAAGTATCACTACTTTCGGTGCATAGCTGCTTCTGTACTGACGTGGCCTTCAATATCTGCAGAGAGCATGCTCTTGAAGGCAAGGTTAGTCTCCCCCTGTGCCTGAGCGCGACAGCACAAAAGATAGCAGTACGACATTCCTGATGCCTTCATATAGCCAGCTGCGGATAACTTAGATGCAGTCAGTGCAAAACCTTACTTCTTCCAGGATACTTTTCATCTTGGCCTTGTAAATCTCTATTACTGAAGGCATGTCGTCGTCGGCGTCAGCTCGAGCTTTTCTGAATTCTTCCAGGAGTTCTTCGACTTGCTTTTCTACAGAAAGCTTGATTGATGAAATTTGCGTGTGCCCCTTTTCTCCAACAGCTGGAAGAATAATACTTGAAACCAAGGAATCTTTTCGTGACCACATTCCGCTTGCTTGGCGTAGGAGCAGGAGCTGCTCGCCTCTTCCTCTTAGAGCTTCTTCCTATTTAAATACAGCAGAAACCGCACCAAACCTTTAGTGGTGGTTGGAAGAAAAAGCGTTAATTATCTCTTTGGAAGCTCATTTGTTGTGCAAAATAGAACAAAACATACTTTCTGATGCTCTTTCTCTTCCCTTGCTAGCTTGTTTACAAGATCTCGTCTTCTGAGACGGAGCAAGCTAAGCAGAGTTGATAGGACCTCTTCACGCTCTTCATCGTGCTCCTTTCCCCATATCTGTTTGAAAGAGAAGCAGCAGTTGCACTTCAACAGGTATGCCGGCACAGACCCAGCACATTCACGTTACACCCGACGCGACGTACAGCATCTGCCTAGCTTCGGTTTCCCTTTGCTGAACTGGAATCCTCTTTACGAAACACCCGCTGTCTAATCAGCCTTGTCAGCTTCTCCAGGTTAAACTGCGTTTTCCTCTACAGGTGGCATATAGCTCTGTCTGACGAGCCTACGTGATCCATTTGCAATGTAAACGACTCTTACTGATAGTGTTTCACCGAATACAACTCCCCCTGTCTGCCCAAGACGTACCTCTGAGGCGGCAGCGTCCTGTAGCTGCTGTGAAAGGGCCTGTTTCAATTGTTTTGTCAATTCACGAAGTTGAGATAAACCTTGGCTTCGTTCGTCCAGTATTTGGCCACACTGTTGCTCGGCTTCCTGCTGAATTCGCTTTGCTAAGTTGAGAACGGCTATAAATAGTCGAGGGTCTTGGGTTTCCAATTTTTTAGCCAAAGCCCTTCTTGCTCTTAAAACTCCAGGATCCTCCTCCATGGGCGCCTGAGCTTGGTTCTGAATGATGAGGTCTTCCACTTCCCTAAGTGCCTCTTTCCTGTGCAGGTGGCAGTGTTTTAACAATCTCAGTGATGTAGTCCCTTATATCATCTAGCGCCTTGCATCAGCGAAGTTACAGTAGGTGTACAACTTACGTGGGTGTCTCGTGAAGGGTCCGCTGGTTGTATTTCGACTTGGGGTCTGCTTCAAGCTTTTCCAGTCTCTGGTGCTTGATTGTCCAGGCAGCCAGAAACAGAAGCACTGCCATGCAGATGATTCCCAAAACGACGGCGATAAATAATAGCCAACCGGATGTCTCTATGGTAGCGGGAAGCCGCGCAGCAATGGCGGCGAGTGTCTCAGCAGTTCGCAGTTGGGGTAACAGCGCGTCTTCCCTGCAAAGCCTTTTAGATTCCATGACCCGCAGGACCAAAATTTTGTTTTGGTCACTATTAAGGCCAAAAACGTAGAGCCCTGGCTCTTTGAAGGTAAACATAAAGAGAATTCTCTGTTCCCCTCCCTTCATGTCGGTGTCTAGTTCCCTGTTGAACGCAGAATCAGCAGAGAATCGCAATATCAATGCGTTCAAGCCCTCTCAACAGAAAACAGAAAACCAAATGGTCCGCTCCTCACCTAAAGGCTCCGTAGTCGAATTGCTGGTTTGTATTCAGCAAATTGTTTCGAAGATACACCGGGTAGATGGGATTCGGGCTCGGGCGGATGTGCCAAGCTACTGTCGAGCCCAGTGGGAGGCATTGGACTGGGTCGGAGACTCCGTAGTAACCGAAATCGGATGATGCTGCCAATCGACGCGTAGGATCCGTGCCATCCACCTCCGTCCCGTCTGTATCTTCTGTCTCTTCCTCGCTGGGTAATTCTGGGGCGATTCCGAATTCCTGTAGGCGTTCAGTAATGTCATCAACGAAACTTTGCGGGACGCCTACAAGGCCTGTCATTTTGGCTGAAGCACGTTAGCACACACGATGGCACTGCTAGGGCTAAGGGTCAGCCCAGAACTTTTACAGCCGGCGGAGACAAGTGATTTGCAGCCAGTGCCTTTTGAAGCAAAGTGATGTTCCGTCCTCCAATTTCAGCTGCCCAATATTACTGCAGACGAATACGTGTGATGGGGACAACTTTTAAGACTGGAGTGAGATGCTGACCCAGCGTTGTATCAAACATTCGGACAGTGCAGCCTGCTCTGTCCTCGCACTCATAAGAACCAGTGGCAAGCCCCGTCTGCGTAGTGAGATCTTGTAGTGCAAACGCTCTGTCGCCCGACGTTGTTTCAGGATCGTCAATCAGCAACTTAGAGTCTTTGATGATCATTTGGGGACGTGTAGATCTACACGTTTCGTCGCATATCTCATCCAGGGACTTTTCTCCGACACAGGAACAAAGACCCGATATAGTGCTAAAAGAACCACCTGCAGGGCCGCACTGGCTAGAGCAAACCTCCTTCGAAGTTGAGCAAGCGCCTGTTGAATCCCGCACAGTCTCTGACGTGCATTCGTCGTAGAGCTGAACATCGAAAACGTGCAAAGGTTCGTCAAACTACTAATTCCAAAGCAAGACCCGTGCTCGTCGATGCTGGGGGCGGCCTATCGTCACGCTTATTTTGTTTGACGGTGAACTATCGTTCCCAAGTGAACATTCTTCAAGCAAGATGCTGCCTCACGGTTTGTTGGCAGGGCTCCACTCCATCCTGGTCGCTGAGATCTTCCTTCCCCTGAGTGTAGTGAAATCCCGAGACGCAAACGCACGATCTATCTGCCAGTTGGAAAGCTCGATTCGTTCCCTTGCAAGAGCAGGATGTTGCTTTTGAATTAGACGTTGCCGTGGCCCCGCAGAGTATGCAGCCCGTTTGACCTTCCAAGGAGTTGTATGTCCCCGACTGCAGGAACGCATACACGTTGGGGATAGAAATCGCCATCGAACGGCGTATGTAATTGGAAATCCCTGAATCTCATATTCCTTCTGCTTGAAAACCGCCAAAAAATGTGACAACACCTTTCCTACCGGGCATGAATAGCAAGCCTCTTGACTTGATGCGGCTGCTTGAAGCCCGTAAGTCCCTGGAGGGCACGGTGTCTCGCTGCTAGACCCTTCAGGGCAATAAGTGCCCGGGGCGCATCGAAACCCTTTGTCTCTCGATCTGCTGGTTGGCGTGCTGCACCCACAATCAGCAAGTTGTGGTACTCGGTGAAGAAACCATCTTCCTCAGTACTGGTGCAGAGACGATTTTGCAGATGCAAACGCGCCAAGGAAATGCTTTATGGTTCACGGTGCCTGACTTAGCTTATCATGTATATCTTACCGGGAATTGCATCCTTCCAAGCAAACGTATCCTGGGGTGCACGGAAGACACTCTGTCATACCAGGCTCGCTTGAATACGTCCCCTTCACGACAGCAGCAATGCACGTACATACAAAGGCGCTGCATAATCCACGAATTCTAAAACCACGGCTCCAGCTCATGTTTCCCATGTTTAGTGAAATGTACGAGAGCCTTTGGTTTTGCGCACTGTAGTGCTAAATACGATACCGCGGGGCATATGGTGCATCCAGTTTCCAATGAGGTGGTGTCGGATCGATCGGCGGAACCCATGTAACCAGCAGGGCAGGGACTGGGAATTGATTGGTCAAGAGGGCAGTATGAACCGGCCGGACACTTCAAGGGAACCCCTGATCCTACCGGACACAGAGCTCCAGCTGGGCACGGTTGCGGTTCGCCACTCCCGGCAGGGCACCAAGTCCCCTGTAAGCATTTGCGTGGGACAGCCGTGCCTAAAGGGCACGAATGCCCTACCGGGCATGCAATTCCAGGCTCAGATGACCCTTCCACCGGACAATAGTTCCCCGCTGAGCGCGCAAGCATTCAGGGGAGGGGCACTGGTGGCGTGGACTGAGAGAACATTGTTAAAAATTTGGGATAGACGAGCAGGTACTAGTTGCCAAAGTGCCCCGAAAGATAT